GAAGGCTGAGGCAGAAGGATCACCGGAGCCCAGTGGGTTGAGGCTGCGGTGGCCGGGAGCGGCCACTGACTCCAGTCTGGGAGACAGAGTGAGACTCCAACTCAAAAAAAAAAAAAAACAAATTATACTCACGCTAATACTGCTTTAATGAGGCCAACTCCATGTACTGTTTAGTATCACTATATAAATCTCCACCTAGGTTTGTTTTTTTTAACAGAACTATAAAAAGCTTTGCTTCTTGGGAGAAAAAGTAAGACCACATGTAATTGACTAAGTTTTTTTTTAGTAACTTTACCAGATAAGCTGAGGGTCAAATCTGATATTCAATAATAAAGTTATATTAGCCCATGACCATATTTTCCTACATAAAACTTCCTTCTTTCATTCATATTTTCTCTGGTTCTGATTCTATACTTAGAGCTATTTTATCATTATTCCAGACTATATAATCTTAATGAAAATTATCTCAAATCCTTTGTGGCTGAGGCAAGAAACCAATAAATGAAAGAAAAAGTTGAAAGAAGAGGAAGAGACATACACATAAAGGCAATTATATGTTGTTTTTATCCCAAGATTTTCTTGCTAACAGGGCATCAGCAGGGCATGCACTTTGACTTGTTCTCTCAGAGATGGAAGATTCTGTTTAATTTCCTTCTAACAGCATTTACTTGTAAGAAATCTGACCCCGTTAAGGTAACAGAAGGTGAACACAGCACACATTACGCTGCAACCTGGGCTTTATTTACATCATATTCTAATCAATCAACCTAAAGAGTCAAACACAACAATTATAATCTACCTGTGTTTGATCATTTAGAATGCAGCATAGCAAAATTTAGTGCTTTTTAAATCAGAGCTTTTTCCACTAGAATGGCTTTAACCCTCCCCCCCAAAAAATGAAAAATAGAAGGTGTTAATGATGATATAGAAAAATCAGAACTTCATAAACTACTGGTGGGAATGTAAAATGGTACAGTTGCTATGGAAATCAGTTTGGCATTCCCTCAAAAAGTCTAACAGAGTTACCATAAGACCCAGCAATTCTACTCCTAGGTTTATATCCAAAAGGACTGAAAACATACTTTCACACAAAAATTTTTAAACAAATGTTCACAGTAGCATTATTCACAATAGCCAAGAAGTGAAAACAACTGACGAATTGTTGAAATGTGGTATATCCATACAACACAATACCATCTGGTCATAAAAAAGGATGAAATACTTGGTTCACACCCCAACATGGAAAAACCTTGAAAACATCATGCCAAGCGAAAAAAAGCTGGACACAAAAGCAGTAGATTGCATGATTCCATTACGTGAAACACCCAGAACAGGCTCATCCACGGAGACAAAAAAGCAGTGGTTTGCCAGGGCAGAAGGAGGGGAGAACAAAGAGTGACCGCTAAAGGAAAAAACAGGTATCTTCAGGATAATGAAAATGTTCTGAACTTAGATAGTAGTAATGGTTGCACCTTGTAAATATACTAAAAAACACTGAGCTGTATACACTTTAAAATGGTGATTGTTGCTGTGAATTATACCTCAATTTAAAAAGAGCTTGTAAATAATATTAATAAATCAACAAAACTTATTATCACTCCTCATACGTGTTAAAAACAGCTTTTCCTTAAGTCTAAAAACCAAACAACATTTTGATGCTCTGACCCTAGCCATGTGTAGGAACCCTAACCACAAATGGTCATTCAACCTTGATTTGGATTTAAACACTTTCAGAACAAAAACTCAAATGGAGTTCCTTTCTTCTTCAACACCAAACACTGAACAACTAAAAACGTCTTCCTCATACTTACATCACTGTAACTTTTCCCTAATGGGTCTAGTTCTGTACCACAGAACCTCTTCCATTAAACAACCTCTTAAGTTTCAGATAAGCTTCCATGAACTGCAAAATCCCCTTTTCTAGTCAGCATTCCTATCTTTCAAACACTCCACAGACTCTGGTTTCTTAACCTTTCACCACTCAGGTCACTCCCTGTGACTGTCTCCAGCTGATACTGACTGAGAAGACTATGTAGAGTAACTCCTGTGCCTCAGTTTGCTAAGATCTGTAAAACTGTGATAATAATATTGTCTACCCCGTAGGATTACCCTGATTAAATGTGCTACTCTGTGTAAAAGCCTAGAAGAATGCCAGACATGTTAACAGGTGCTATATGTTTGCTATCGCTCTCTCTAATAGAAGCTAAGACCACAGTAGCTTTCTGAGTAGCTCTATCATGATACCAACTCATTCAGCTAAAAATGTGCTACTCTTTTCTACCACTCTAAACCTGTACTTGAAAAAGGAGTCTTTGAGCCCAGCAAATAAAATTCTTTATTAACTTTCATGTTTCAAGACATAGCCCACTCTTTCAGTCTGTTTCAGGAACACAGTAGATAACACGAGTGGGCTCTGGAGCCAGACTGCATAAACCAGAACACTGGCTTTACAACCTTAAGCAAGTTATACTTCTAAAAATGGAGGTGATCATTCATTTTATAAAGATCTGTTGAGGGCTGGGCACAGTGGCTCATGCCTGTAATTCCAGTACTTTGGGAGACCGAGGTGGGAGGACTGCTTGAGCCCAGGGGTTTGAGACCAGTCTAGGCAACACAGTTAGACCCTGCCTCCTCAAAAAATTCAAAAAATCAGATGGGCATGGTGGCACACGCCTGTAGTCCCAGATACTTAGGAAGTTGAGGCAGTAGGAAACACCTAAGCCCAGGAGGTCGAGGCTGTGGGGAAAAAAGCCAATCTCGTACCACTGTACTTTAGCTTAGGTGACAGAGTAAGACCCTAACTCAAAAAAAAAACAAAAAACTATTTAGCCTCCACTATGTACCAAGCATTTCCCTAGCAGTAAATAGTGAATAAAACCAAGTCCACAACCTCAAGTGGCTTACATTCTAGAGTGGGAGACAACAAAGAACTAGTAAATATATACTAGGTCAGGTAACGACCGGGTACTGTGGAGAAGGATAAACAGCAAGGTAAGAAGACTATGGAGCTCTGTGGCAGGCAAGGGGGTGAGAGAAGGAGCTTGCTATGTGACGTAGGGTGGTGTGGGAGGGCCTCTTTGAAAGGAATATTTGAGAGGAAACCTGAGAAAGTAAGAGAGCAAACCATGTGAATACCTGGGGGAAGATAATTCCTGGGCTAAACGAACGGCAAGTGCCAAAGATGTGTGCTTGGTGTTGCCCGAGGAACAGAAAAGAAGCTGAGAATGTGAGTGACGGGCAGAGCAGTCATACATGGACTAGAGAGGAAGCACTGTAGAGCTTCGCAGGCCAGCTTTTATCAGCGTGAGATGGAAAAGGCATCAGAAGGTTCTGAGTGGAAGGGTGGGATTGCCTGATTTGGGTTTAAGTGCTGTCGTGATGAGAATACGCTGCAGAGGGAGCAAAGAAGAAGGTACTGCAATAACTGAGATGAGTCGTGAAAGTGGCTTGGGTGAGTCTGGTAGAGAGGATGGTCAGTCTCTGGATCTATTTTGATGACAATGCCAACAGAATTTGCTGTGGATGGGTGTCCAGTGTGAGAAAGAGAAAGAAGTCTGGGATGGCTACTCGGTTTCTTTGGCAACCTGTGTTTGTATCATGAGAGGCTCTAGCACTTAATAATTATGTGACTTAGCAAGTTACTTAGTATCTTCTTGCTTCAGTTTCTTCATCTGTAAAATGGAGATAACAACATCTACCTAGTGAGACTGTCATGAAGATTAATGTTTAAAAAAAAAAAAAGCTTTAAACAAGTATTGCTATCATCATCGTCTTTATTAATAGCTTGCTTGTGAAAAAATGGAGTTGCAGGGAGAACAGGTTTTAGAGTGGGACTGCCATCAGAAATTCAGTTTTAAATAGATTAAGTTTAAAATATCTACTGGACATCCAAATAAAGATAGTAAACGGGGAGTTGGACATCAGCAGAGACTAGCAGGTAAGTCAGGGTTAGAGAAATTAATCTGGAAATGGGTAGCATATAGACAGTTATTAAAACCGTGAAACCAAGGAAGATCCCTCTGGGAGTGAATATACGGTAAAAGAGTTTCCAGGACTGAGCCTTGAGGCACCCAACATTTTAGAAGTTGGGAAGACAATGACGAGCCACTTCCTCCTTCCAGAAGTAGCATCCTGGAAGTCAAAGTAAAAAAGTGTTTCAAGAAGGGAAGGAGGTTCAGCTGTTTTATATGCTGTTAGGAAGTCTAATAAAATAAGGAATGATAATTGATTATTGGATTTTACAATATAGATGACACTGGTAGGCCCTGATTAGCAGCTATTTTGGTACAGAGGAAATAAAAGTGAAGTAAGTTCAGGAAAGAATGGGAGGAAATTAAAACATCAAATATGAACAACTCAAAAAAGAGCAGAGAAGCAGATGAGTATCTAGAAGGAAACGTAGGTCAGTAGTTCATTGTTGTTGCTGCTATTGTTTTAAGATGGGAGAAAATACAGCAGTTTTTAATGTCAGTGATCAAGCAACAATGGGCCAGTGAGAAATGGATGATGCATGAGAGGAGACCCCTAACTTAGGGCCGCGTCCTTAACTGGGCCAAAGGGGACACAACACAGTACACAGGAAAGTGGGTGGCCCGAAGAAGTTTGTGCCAGACACTCTTCTAGACACTGTATCCAGAATAAATTTATTCTAGATATATCAATAAATAAAGTAGTTACCTGATAAAACATGTAAAACACTTAGAATACTACCTGGTACATTGGAGGCACCTAATAAATGCTGGTTAAATATAGATCTGAACTGTGTTCATCTAAATCTATAATAAAAATATGAATCAGGACAATGTCCTTGACTCACTTCAAGTAAAGGGTTAATAAAAAAAACAATATCCTAAAGCCCATTATTACAGGAGTCTGAATAACATGCTTCTGAGTTGATAAAATATAGTAGTACTTCTGATAATGAGTATCTTTTAAAACTCAATGAGTGCAACACCTTAATTGTGCAGATAAAGATTAAACACAAAAAGCCACTTACTCAAAATTATTAAGTTAATTCAGTGAAAGGTCAAAAGCTAAAATTAAAACCTCATTCTCCTATCTCCTATTAAAACCTAGTCTGGTTTCCATTATACTTTCTTGGATAGATTTCTTTTTTTCTCTTGGCAGAATGGTTGAAAATATTAAGACTGCAATTTCCGTCTTCCCTATACTTCTGCCTGGCTCTTCCCCTCTCCCCTCAAATTTACTATAGGATGTACCTGACTACTTACCATTTTACATTAATCCAATAAAAACTATATGCATTAAAAAATGCTTTTGGGGTGCCAGGCACAGTGGATCACACCTATAATCCCAGCAATTTGGGAGGCCAAGGCAGGAGGATTGCTTGAGCCCAAGAGTTCAAGGCCAGCTTGGGTAACAGTGAGACCTCATCCCTATTTATATACACACAAACACACACACACATACATACTTACATATATGCATGCTTTGGAGAAGATATAATATTTTAGTTAGCAAAATTCAAGGTTATTTTTTACCCCTTCCCCCCCAAAAAACTACAGTTAAGACACCCTTATGCATCACATATAAAGTATCTTCATTTCTCCATTGGAAATCACATAACTCTTGTAAGACGTTGACAAGCTGAAATATCACCATCACCATACTGATACTGCTGGTGAAGACATAAGGAATGTTTACTATTATGGACCTTATAGATGTTTAAATTCGGAGTATTTCAATAAATAATAAATCAGAACAGAAAACATTGTTTTCTACAAAATCTTAAGAAAGTATATCTATTTTAAGCAGCCATTACCAGTAATTTTTCTTTTTTAGTTTTGGGAAACGTTGTTGTTGTTATTGTGGTTTTTAAGTTGGAGTCTCACTCTGTTGCCCAGACAGGAGTGCAGGGGCACGCTCACAACCACCACAGCCTCTACCTGCTGGGTTCAGGTGATCCTTCTACCTCAGCCTTCCAAGTAGCCAGAACTACAGGTGCATGCTACCATTCCCAGATAGTTTTTTTTTTATTTATTGTAGAGATGAGATCTCACCATGTTGCCCAGGTTGGTCTCTAACCAGCGGTCTCAGGCAGTCCTCTCACCTAGGCCTCCCAAAGTGCTAGGATTATAGACTTGAGCCACCATGCCTAGCCAGAGTTACATTGTAATCACTGTATAGATATTTTGTATTCTGAGATGCTAATTTTTTTTTTTTTTTAAAGAGGCAGGGTCTCACTACGTTGCAGGCTAGTCTTGACCTCCTGACCTCAAGCAATCCACCTTAGCCTCCCAAAGTGATATGTTAATTTAACACAAGGTATTTCTTTCATGTTACTACAGAGTTATTGTAATGATTATTTTTAAGAGCTCCCTAATATTCCAATTACATCTTCTTCATAGATAATGTATAGAAACTTGAATGTGTAGATGAAATAAAATAGTATTCTAATTATAGCATTAAGACAGTATGATAATATAATGTGCTTAGAAAAAGGAATTTAGTTACAATATTATGTCCAGTTTCTTGCCTTTGAGGTAAGGTATTGAAATTGTAATAATCTTAATTAGTATGAGAATCACCTCTCTTCCCTCCTCCCCCTCCCTGTCTTTCTCCTCCTCCTCTTCGTTTTTAATAGAGACAGGGTCTGGCTCTGTCACCCAGGTTGAAGAGCAGTGACCCGATCACAGCTCACTGAAGCCCTGAACTCCTGGGCTCAAGTGATCCTCCTGCCTTAGCCTCCTGTGCAGCTGGGACTACAGGCGCAAGCCATCACCCAAATAATTCTTGAATTTTTATTTTTTAGTAGAGATGAGGTCTTGCTGTATTGCTCAAGCTGGTCTCAAACTCCTGGCCTCAAGTGATCCTCCTGCCTCAGCTTCCCAAAATGCTGGAATACAGACAAGAGCCACCATGCCCAGCCCCATTTTACTTTCAAGATACAAGCCACATTGAAAACGTTCTGCAAATGCCAACTGAAATAAATACTCACGGAAATACAAATTTTTCCCTTTTCCTTTTTGCATATTTAATAACGGTTTAAGAGTGGCACGACACTCAATTTTAATGAATAAGGATTCCACTTCAAAGCAGGAATAAAGTTGCAGTTTAATATTTCAGCCAAGATATCTGGCAAACCCAATCCTTTCATCTTTAAAACAACACCTTTTAGATTTCAAGTTTCAACTTAAAATTCTAGTATGAATTACCTCTCAAAATTTTTGTTGTCGTTATTTTTTAATCCTTCAACGTCCGGCTACAATCTTCCACTCTCTTTCATAACTACTGTTCTACCCTTATTTTCTTAATCCACCTATTCACCCCCAAATTATTGCACATCTGTACTGCATATTTGTAACTCTGCAGCAGTCGCACCTTCTTGAAACATTAAAACCAGCATACCTCCGCCCTCAAACCAGGGCAGCAGTACAGATATGGGAATAAACATTTGAAAATTAACCTTCTATGTCCACCCACTCGCCAATGCGGCCAAAATACTGGTGACGATTCAAACTGTCTAAAGTTCTAAAGAAGAACCAAAGCTATTTCGGCAATTAGCAGCTCAAACCACTTCCTAACCGCCCAACTTTTAAGTCGGAAGTTGGAAGCTGCCTGCGTAGCTTCTGCGATGACCGCACCCCCAATGCCCACTGCCTTTTTCCCATCCAGCAGTGCTGATCCACTCTTCTCTGATGTGCACACGTGCCATTTTTCTTACTGGATAATTAGCAGCTTGAAGCCAAAGCCCTTTCCATAGGCTGCAATCCCCAAGGTCCAACGCAGTGCCCAGGGCCTGCAAGATCTGGACCGACTCTAACTATGAATAGGACAAACGAAAGGTTCGACATGCCTTGCTTCATGGAGTCCTTTCAGCAGCCCGACGAAGTAAGTTGCTATGCATCGTTCCCATTTTACAGACGATCAAAGTCGCGCCAAGGTCTCCAAGCCTGACACGTCCGGATGCAAACGCTCTCAGCCACGCCCCCCACCCTCCAGGTCCCCGCATACCTCCCTCAGGCTTCTGCACACAGGAGACTCGAACTGGGTCCCGGAATCCGGGAAACCACCGGGCAAGGCTTGAGGCCTCGGGTGAGGCTGGAGACGCCTCGCCCCACCAAGTTTAGGTGAGACCCGCCGAGCGGGAGCTTTAGAGAGCGAGGGGGGCGCAGGGCGTGGAGGACAGGCTCGCTGTGGCCCAGGGGAGGTAGGACCTCTCCGCCCTGCCGTTCTCGCGCCCCACCCGGACCCCGAGCCCGGCGGGAAGCCGAGTCCGCCCGCTCGGGAACTCCAGGGCGGCCCCCGAGAGACGGAACGCGCGGCCTTCACCGCCCCCCACCCCGTGGGACCCGATGCCGGCCGGGGGAGCTCGGGGACCGACGCACCTCGGACTCAGGAGGGGGCAGGGGCAGCTCTAACCCTCAAACGGCGGCTGGAGTTCTTCGGCGGCTCAGGGGCCGAGAGAGGCGGACAGGTGTGCGCGACGGGCTTCCTCCCGAGCCACCTGGGAGGACGATGCCAAGCGGCGGCGGCAGCCCGGGCCGCGTTGCGTGGGACACCGCCCGACGCCCCGCCCCTTCCCGTGGCCTCCCGGAGCCACTTCCGGTGGCGGGGTCCTGGCCGGCTTCTGGCGCCCACGGTCCCGGGTTTACTCCTCAACCCATCACCCGGGAGCCCCGGCGAGGCCCCGTGTCTGTCTTCAGTCCCGGAGCAGAGGCCCGGCCCGGACGGGGGACTGGAGCGCCGCGCCTGAGGGGTAAAATGTGCTGCGAGAAGTGGAGCCGCGTGGCGGAAATGCTGCTCTTCCTCGAAGACCAGGAGGAGGATTCCGGGATCCTTTGCCTTTGCTCCAGGGCATTTGTGGAGTAAGTAGTAAGAGTTCCCCCTCGTTTCCTAGCACGATCGTGACCTGGAAATGTAGGCGTTGCAGCCGTGGTTGTCACTGATCCGTGAAGCCAACCAGAGCTTTTGGTCCCGGAGTAAAGTGATGCTTAAGAAGAACAGAAACTCTTAGACATGACAGAGTGGTCGCTTCCTGCCGTTGTTCTTAAGTGGAGGACGACGTCCACCTGGTAGGCGCTTCTCCAAAAATATGGGGGCTAACGTGTGTCATTTCACGTTTACAGATTGAGGGGGCATTTAAGGATTGGGGGAAAGTGAAACGTAAAATGAAATCTCTAATGCACGTGACGTTATAAGTCAAGGTGAGTAACTTGCTTTGGTTAGTATCTTTTGTAGACCTTGACATCTAGTCTAGGGAATAGATCAAGGGACATCTGTTCGAGACCAAGTGCCCGTCATTAGAACTTTTTGCTATTTTAGATGAAGGCTTAACTTTTTTTTTTTTTTTTTTTTTTTTTTTTTTGAGATGGGTTCTTGCTGTGTTGCCTAGGCTGATCTGGAATGCCTGAGCTCAGCAATCCTCCCATCTCGGCCTCCCAGAGTACTGGGAATACAGGTGTGAGCCACCACACTTCGCCAAAGGCTTAACTATTCACATCAGTTTCTGAGATTTGTTTATTTGAGGGAAATGTTTGTTTCAGGTAAAAAATGCCCTGCATGGAAAATGACTGGTGTGTAGGGGGGAAAATGACAAGAGAATCGGATTCTAGGGATTTTTTTCTTTATATTAAATGTGTGGGGTAGGGCATTTAAACCTTTTTCTTTTTCATTTCTAAAACAAATATATTTATCCTAATCTCACCAAGTCTTGTGGAAGTAAATTTTAGGTGGTAAACTTTTAATATAGCTTAATGTAGTAGAAGTTGGAAAGAATTCTTTTTCATCATGTGTTTTGTGTAGTAATCTGAAAATTAACCCAAAAAGGAAGTTAAACACCATGTGATCTTTAATGCGAAAAATGTCGTCTGGCCGAGCTTAGTGGCTCACGCCTGCAATCCCAGCACTTTGAGAAGTGCAGGCCGGGGCATTGTTGGAGACTACCTAGGCGACATAGTAAGACCTTGTCTCTATAAAAATAAAATTAACCAGATGCGGTGGCACACACCTGAAGTCCTAACTACTTAGGAGGCTGAGGCAGGAGAACTGTTTGAGCCTAGGAGTTCAAGGCTGCGGTGAGCTCTAATTGCACACTGCACTCCAGCCTGGTTGACAGAACAAGACCCTGTCTCTAGAGAAAAGAAAAGAAAGAGAGGAAAGGGAAAGGGAGGGAAGGGGTTGATTCTCATACTAAATAAGATTGCACAGCCAGGCTCGGTGGCTCAGCCTGTAATCCCGCGCCTTTGGGAGGCTGAGGTGAGTGAATTGCTTGAGCGCGTGGGTTTGAGACCCGCCCTGGCAACTTGATGAGACCTCATCTCTACAATAAGTCAAAAAAATTAGACGGGCGTGGTAGCGCGCCCCTGTAGTTCCAGGTACTCGGAAGGCTGAGGCGGAAGGATCGCCGGAGCCCAGCAGGTCGAGGCTGCGGTGGCCGGGAGCGGCCACTGCACTCCAGTCTGGGTGTCAGAGTGAGACTCAAAAAAACACAAAAAAACAAAAACAAAAGATTGCAACACCTCACCTCAAAGGCAAAAAACAGGACCTAATATCATAACTAATTTCTATTTTCTAAAGCCATTGTAGTTACATACTGCTTTAATGCTATAGAGTACTATTCTATTTCATCTACACATTCAAGTTTCTATACATTGTATGAAGAAGATTTAATTAGAATGTCATTATGATGACTTTGTAGTAACAGGAGAAAAGATCCTTGTGTTACATTACCATATCAGGATACACAATGTCTACACAGTAATTACAATTAATATAGAAATTGCATGTGTTTGTGTAGAAAGCCCAGAATAAAACAAGAACGTGCTGAAATGGTGAGGCTGTTGATTTTTTTGTTAGTTGCTCGTGTTGTATTTTTTTTAAAAAACTTGCTTTAATTATTTAATTTTTAGATAATTTATTTTGAAATAATTTCAGACTTAGAAGAATAATTCAAAGAAGTCCTTTATTCTCCTCACCCAGATTTACCAACTGTCAGCAATTCACTGCATTTGCTCCGTCTATGCCACTCCATAGGTATATATAAATATGCACAAAATCATTAGTCTTTTTCTCAACCATTTGAGAGCAAGCTGCAAGCATGACTGTAAATACTCCATTGTGTATTTCCCCAAAACAAGGCTGTTCTGCATAATCACTGTAGTGAATTCAAATTCAGATTTCCCCAACTTGCCCAACAGTGTGTCTCCTTTCTGACCCAGAAATTCTCATAGGAAACTGTCATATTAATGACAGTTACTTATGTCTTGGCAGTCTCCTCCAACCTGGAAAGATTCCTCATCCTCTTAGAAGCTATATTCTAAGTTTCATGTCATAACACTCTGTAACCTGGATCCGTCTGATGTTTCATCAGGGACACAATTGGGTCATGCCTTGGCAGAAATGCCACAGAAATGATGCTATGCCTGGCTCTGTATGACTTCAGGAGGCAATTTATATAGACAGCATGCCACCACAGGTGATGTTACTGACTGCTAGTTTTCTCTCCTGTAAAGTAACAGTGGTTCCCTTTGTATTAGTCAGTATGTGGTGGGGGCATATTCCAATGTTACACCAGTAACCTGTTTTTCAATAAACGCACAAACCTTATCTTTAATTGACAGCTTCCGTCTGAATCACCTGCCTCTGAAGGTTAACAAGGAATAGTTCTTGTCTACTTCGTTCTTTTGCATTTATTTTAGCATTCTGTAAGGAGTTCTTTCCCTTCTCTCCCACATATTTTATTCATTTGTTTATGTTAAAAAGAACTCTGGATTCTTAGTTTGTTAGTGAGTTGTAGTCCATTGCTGTCATATTTATTTTAGTGCTCATATTGTCTCAGATTTGACCAGTGGGGGATTCTTTGAGGTGGCTCCTGTGTCCTTTAGATGTCTCCAACGTTCTTTGAGTGCTCCCTTTATGGTATAACATGTCCCAGGCTTATCTTTTACAGTTCATGCTCCAACCTGGAACTGCCATTTATCCTAAGCACCATGATTCCTTCAGTGGAGAATGGTATTTTGAAATCAAAAGTGGGGTGCTCGTATGTGCTTATTGCTCCTGTAATCTCTCAGTAGCAGAGTTAGGCAGTGTATATATGTATTTTGCATACATACGTGAATATGTATATGTGTGTGCGTACATACATATATACACATACATAACATATTTAAAACCATTTTTTTATATCTACAGTGTATATAAATTTAAATGCCGCAAATTGATAATAATACGTTTAGGGTTGGCATAACACCTTAGCGTTCTTTCTAGGCTTCCTTGTTTTTTGATGCCGTGTCTTGAACCCACCTTGTTTTTAAACCCTCAGCAAGAAGAATCTTGGCCATCATCCTCAATACTAAATTCTAGTATTTCTTGTTTCTTGTTGTAAACAACTTGAAACCATACCGGTCCTCTCCTCCATCTGACACCTCCTGCCACATATCCTTGGGTGCTGGTGAACATAATACCAATGCCCTCGGTGCAGCTCCTGCTCCCTACCCCCTATGCCCATGTTCTTGGGTAGTCCTTGGGCATACTAAATCCCATTGGCGTGTCATCCCCTTCCTGTTCACCTGCTGAGTCACTTTGACCTACTGTACGTTTCATAAAGTATCCCCCAGAAAGAAACATTAAGTTATGAAATAAATGAGGTACACAAGAATTTTGTTTTATTAAATTTATTGTAACTCAGTAATGTTAGCTGTAACTTGCGATTGGTCTTATTGTGGCAGTTACAATAAAGTTTATTACAGCTAAATGTATAGGTAGGAAGATAGTAAAAGCAAAACCTACTTTTTTTAAGTGATCTGTTAGGTTTATTTTGGTAAGCTTTGTTCAGACGATGATACCTTGTCTACTATTAACAATGGGTGGTTTGACTTACTTGCAAATAAATTAGAGTCTGCACATGGATTTATATGTGTGTAAGCTAAATATTCCCATTGTTACTTTATACTGACTTCTTACAGCCAAATTTTAGAGAACCCCTCGTTGTTTATGTATCATAAGGAAGATCAGAGTCTTTCCCAATATCCAGGAAGGATGCCACTTAGTTTTAATAATTAGTAGCTACAATGTATAAATGCTACCATGCATTTAGGCACTAAGCTACATATTTTACATATACTATCAATCTTTATAACAATTCCGTGAGAAATGTATTATTCTGTATCATAGGTGAGAAAAAAATATTAGCAGATTTCTTTTCTGTTTTGTAACCTTTTTATTAGTCTATGATGCCCTGTAGCATTTGTTTTTTTTTCCCTCCCTAAGTGTATGGCTTAATTTATTTCAACATGAACTGCTTAATTTGCTTCACAGGGATCGAAAATTGTTGAATATGGGATTAAAAGGCTACTATGTCAAAGGCAGTGGCGACAATGCAGGTAATACAGAATAAAACTATATAACCCCTTTTTTGCTAAAATTAACCAAAATGTCCTTTTAAGTTGTTGATAATTTGTGATAATATTTGTTAGCATAAAATATGATAAATAATTCTGTAATCATAGACAGTCCTTATTTCCTTTTAGAACATGGCTTTAGGATTGCTATAAAAGCAGATCTTTTATTTTTCTATAGCTCTTGTATTGACTTAACATATTTTTGCCCTGTATAGCTTTCCTTCCTAAGCTTTCATTGGACAAGGAACAGTCTGACATTAGAAGAATATATGGTTGCTTCAGAAGAATTGTATTGTATAGGCAAATGATCCAGGATAAATTCCAAGTAAACATCCGTAGTCTTTTGCCTGAAGTAAAAAGGCTGTCATCTGAGTTAACTTTCCAATAACAAATAGAGTTTGATCTGTACATTAAGCTTCTCTTCGACTCTCAGGCTTTCCTGCTTCATTTGTCCTTCCACGTAGACCTTTTATGTTTCTAGACAAGGAGAAAACTGCTGCATGGAGTTAGAAGCCCAAGTATAACGTGTCATAGTTACCTTTAAAAATCCTTTATCTATCACGATGATAGAACAAATCACTGTTTCTTCAGTTGATCACTAGATGAAATGTTTGGTTTTGTGTTTCAGTGCTATGCTGTACAAGTTGGGTTTCTATAAACACTAGGATCCCACTGAAGATAAGAAGATATATACACTATAAGAGGAACATAAAAATTTGCTTATTTATTTTCCATTTTGCTTTCTCCTTAGTTTTTGTAAGTTCATTGGATGGCATGGTGAAGAGAATCTTCTTCATTATTTAGATAGGTATCATTTTCCCTCTTTTAGGAGCCTGTTTAGTAGAATTTGCACACATGAGATTTTTTTATCTGTCTCCATTTTTGCTACACAAGACTCACTGTCCTGTTTTCTGAGATCGTCAAGTTGGAGTGCAGCTCAACATTAATTGCGTATACTAGTATGTGAAGTGATTTTTGTTATCTCACATTTTAAACAGTTAATAGAGCACCTGAATGGCATTTATTCAGTTAATGATATAATCATAACCATTATATTATATTATATTATATTATATTATATTATATTATATTATATTATATTATAAAATAACCATATTAGAAAAGGGTAAAGTTTTTTGTTGTAATAAGGTGTTTCTATAAGAGCTAGACTCAAGGAACTTGAAAGAATCTTCTAGTTCAGTGGATTTCAAACTTTTAATAACAGAACCCTTTCATTGGAATCAGTTCTTCCACCCAATATTAGGATCTAAATCTCATCTTTATCAAAGTGTTTATGAGGGACCTAAAGACGTACCTTTCACCTCTCTTATTAACAGCTCCTAAAATAACTCCACAGATCATGATTTTAAACCCACTAATTTCATTTAGTAACTTTGCTGATAAGGAATGTGAGCGTGTAAGTATTTTCTCCACAGGGCTGGGTTATACTTCCCTGTCCCCCTTACTTCCATTCTTAGTACTTTGCACACAAAGCAAGTACCCAATAAGCATACACTGAATGGGCAGCTAGAAGGATAGTGGCAGGCAGAGCCCAGACAAGAAGTTGTCTCTTGATTCTTCATTGTTTTTGTTACTAGTCCATATTACCATCAATTTTTTGTTTGTTTGTTTGTTGTGTTTTCCCTTAAAAATGGTAATATTTCAGCTGGGTGTGGTGGTTCACGCCTGTAATCCCAGAATTTTGGTAGGCCATGCCAAGAGGATTGCTAGAGCCCAAGAGTTCGAGACCAGCCTAGGCAGCATAGCGAGACCTCATGTCTACCAAAAAAAAGAAAAGAAAAATTGTAACATTTGCACACTTCTACTTGGGGCAAGTCGTGTAATTATTTTGGATCTCGGGTTCTTTAAAATGAGGATAAGAAAACCTGCCTCTGACTATTCCTTAAAACTAAGCTAACGAATGCTGTCTGTAGGACACCAGGCTGTAGAAGAAGAGGAAGGTGGTCACTCCCATGGTACGGCAGAATCACGTGACAGCAAAGGCATAGGCCTGGATGAATGTGAACTTGATTCAGAGGCTGAACTCATGAGAAGTATGGGATTGCCAATTCAGTTTGGTGGGATATCTACACATAAGAATTTTGAGGTAAGTTTTAATTTACTTTTAGTGTGTTTATTTTTTAGTGTTCTTTATCAGATATCACAAGAAATTACTTTGCATCTCAGATTAAATGCATTCATGGTTAGAACACTCTACCAATTTTTTTTTTTTTTTTAATTTAAAGATGTGGGGTACAATTCAGGATTAGGTATACGAGTGTTCATTATATTATGCAGGTACCCTTGCTGATGAGGTGTGCCCCCACCCCCTGGCAGTTTCCCACTACTCCCAATCCCTTTCTTATAGTATTATAATTATTCAAAGTCTGCTTATGAGTGAGAACATGTGGTACTCAGTTCCTTGTTTCTGTGATAGATCACTCAGTATTATAGACTTGAAGTTCATCCAAGTTGCTGCAAAGTTCATCACTCTACCTCTTTTAAGTGTAGTATTTATAAATTGCCCTACACTGCAAGTTGTGATATGTCCCTTGTATGACTTTTCCTCTTTTGAGAACTTAGATAAGAGGCACTTGTTTGTGTAGTTAAAAACAGAGCGGGGCTTTAAGAGTATTTTGTGTAGTTTAATGTCAAAATAAACTTGGAAGTGCTTCTATAGTTTATGCAGTACATTTTATATTCAAGTTATCACTTACCTGATATAGGTGTCTATGAATACTCAAAATAAAATTAAAAGAAAAAAGAAAAAGAAAAAACATCAAAAGAAGTACTTAGATGAAATTATGAGAGAATCTTGGGGAAAAGAATATGAAGAAGATGACATTTTGGCCTCAGATGATCCATCTACAGTTGAACAGTATGAAAGCACCAGAATATGTAAACTTGAAGGCAAAAAAGATATTGAAACAGAAAATCTTCCTGTTGAGAATACACTGACTCCAAAGCTAGAAGTTACAGAGACTTGGGAAAAGTATTGGAATGAATATGGAGGAGAACTATTGTGGCAAAGCTGGCAAGAAAAACATCCAAATCAAACACTATCTTCTGAACCTTGGAACTTTCCTGATATAAAGGAAGAATGGGAGCAGCATTATAGTCAACTGTATTGGTATTATTTGGAACAATTTCAGTATTGGGAAGCTCAGGGTTGGACTTTTGACGCCTCACAAAACTGTGATACAGATACTTATGCATCTAAAACAGAAGTTGACAAAAAGAAAGGTGAAAATTGCTTGAAAGTTGACTTAATATCTTTTCCATCTTCATCTACTAGAGTTGATAATGACAGCTCTGGTACAGGTGATAAAGATCATAATGAAATACTTGATGGAATTAGTAATATGACTCTGAATTCAGAGGAAGTAGAACAGAGCCAGTTAGATTCTTCTGTAAGCTGTGATGGTCAGCAGCAGCCAGATGCAGTGAGTGGCAGAAGAGAATGCCCTGCTGGTCAAAGTGAACCATGTGTTGGAGGCACCAAGAGAAGCAGCTCATCAAATAGAAGCACAGACCAACCAGCTCAGGGTAAGATTAACTGAGATTTGTTTTGCCAAGTAGTAGTAGCAAAATGAACTTACTCAGCAAAATAACTGCCACTAATCCTTTATGAAAGAGTTAAATAATACCAACTACATTTCATAGTATGATAATGGAATTATTTACTCCATTTTACTTTTCTATCACAAGTTACATATTGCCCTTTTGTACTAATGGGATTGTTTTCAGCTTTGTGCAGTGGCAGCATTGTGACCAATGAGGTTTTTCCAAGGCATGATTATTGCTAATTGAAAACTTCTCCCAATATCTCACCATGACGACTTGCAATATAGTCAGCACTGACAATTTTTGACAGTCTCTGCAGAGACTGAGTTAGAGAGAGAGAGAAAAGAAGGGAGAGGAAGTGGGGGAGGGAGGAAGTTTACATAGAATTCTCAAAACTGTCACTTTTTCCTCTTGTACCTTGGGGGCTAGTGAAGGAAAACTTGAAATCTCTTGAGAAATCTAATTTAGAGCAAACTTGCCGCTTTCACAGTTTTCCAGAGCAAATGAGTTTATAGGGGGCGTTTCAGACAGTGATAGAGCACATACGTTTGACGTTAGGCAAACCCATCATGAATCATGTGGAATTCATTTAGACAAGTCTTGCTCTATATGAGGATCTCAACAGAGCACGATATTCATTTCAGGATTCTCATCAGTAAAATATCCAGGATAAGGAACTTAGTTGATTTTTGAATAAGTGTTTGGTGAAAAAAACTCATTGTGTAAACTGGTGCCACTGTCAGGACTAGAGAAAGCAAATGAGAAGTGTGTTGAAAGAAGTTACTCAGAATAAGGTGGGATGAGAATGCTCTTGCTAGGGAGCAATTGATGACACCAGGAAGATAGGAAAAGAGGACATTTTTATGACTTGAATTTCTTAAAATCTTGGCATCTTTGATGTTTGATGCTAGAGAAATCGAATATAGGGGAACTTTCTTCTCAGCCATTTTTCTATGTGAAGCAAAATGTGTTGACCTTTACTTAACAGGTGGATTTGCTTTGCTCATCTCATCTTGCTTACCTTCATCTGGTTGAGAGTTTCTAAAGAATTGTCGATTTTTCCTTTTTTTTTTTTTCTGTATTCTTACAATAGAGCTTATCTCAATAGAATGTTCTCATTCCCTTCTGTTTTCTTTCCTTTTTCATCTGAAGTTGGTTTTTTTTTTTTGGTTTTTTTTTTTTAGTTGGAGTCTCACTTGGTCGCCCAGACTGGAATGCAGTGGCCGCTCCCGGCCACCGCAACCTCGACCTGCTGGGCTCCGGCGATCCTTCTGCCTCAGCCTTCCGAGTAGCCGGAATTACAGGCATGCGCTACCACGCCCGGCTGATTTTTTGATTTATTGTAGAGATGAGGTCTCGCCGCCCAGGCAGGTCTCGAACCCGTGGGCTCAGGCCATCCACTCACCTCAGCCTCCCAAAGTCGCGGGATTACAGGCTGAGCCACCAAGCCCAGCTCATCTGAAGATTTTATGACAGTATTCTGATACACTTCTATACTCTCCTTATATTTTTCTGTACTTATTTATAATATAAAATTTGTACTATGCATATGGGTCAATGTAGTGGCCACTATCTTACTGCTTCATGTTACTCCCTTTGATTCTCCTTCCTCATCTTCCTGGGTTTTTTTTCTTTCCTATGGCAAACCTTCTCACAGTCTCTGCCTTCTCTTGCCTGTTCCCTTAGTTGTGTGTATAGATTGACCATTTCAGCAATTAGCTCCAATGTGTCTGCCACAGGATCAATTTGAGGACTTTAGGTTTTGATTTGTTTTAAATCTTCCTTTGAATTCAAAATACAAGGTACGTGTTACATCTCTGTGTGTGTTTTATGCTCTTTGTGGTCGGAGCCCTTCTGGAAGTGTCCCCACACAGTTACAGCTTCCTGCTGTCTGCCCTGAAGGCACCTTTCTCCTTCTTGTCTCACCATCCTACTTTCTTCCAGTCTGATGAAATAAAGAACAAAGACAGATATGTGCCTCAGTTGGAGCTGCAAGTTAAAAATTACCTTTTTCGCAGTCGTACTTATCTTTGTTACTCCCCTTCTATGTTAAAGACAGATGTATTTGCTTTGTAATGAAGACAGATTCCTTTCAGTCAGTGTGATTGTGCTGTCTTTAGAGTCATTTCGTCTAAAATTTCGTAAGAATGTTTTGGTTAATAGCTTTCACAAAGGCAGATTTGTGGGTTAATTTGTGTAGATTTAGGCAGCTATGAAGAGGTAGTTTTAGTTTGCTTTTTTAAGTGGTTAGATCATGGAAACTTTTAAACCTGTTTAAAGAAAAACTTTGGACAAATTAAATTTGACAGAGTTTGAGCAAATAGTGATTGAATCAGGGAGCTTTCAAAACTAGGATAGGTTCAAAGCAATTTCAGGGCTGCCACATGGTCAGATAACATTTATGGACAGAAAAAGGAAGTGACATACAGAAGAAGGAAGTGAGATACAGAAAAAGCCAGATTGGTTAGAGCTCAGCATTTGCCTCATTTGAACATGGTTTGAACAATTGACTACTTAAGATTGGCCAGAACTGAGTGATTGGCCCAAGAGTAGGTTAGTCTATTTACACAACCAGTTACATTACAGCTCACTATGTAAGAGAAACCCTTAGGCTGAACTTAAAATATGTAGAGACAACTTTAGACTAACTTTAATTTAACAAGCCTTATAGACATAGTTTCGATTTGTTAAGTGCTCAAGCTCTGCCAGTAGACACACAGGCAGATACAGATTGCCTGGCACTCTGCCACATAACTGTGTACAGGTCATTGCAGAAAAGGCACTGAAATATTTTGATTGGCTTTGCAAATGGCAGAAAGCTTGTCAAACCAAGATTCACAAGAGTCTTCAGGAACAAGCACGAGCAAAGACAGACCACACGCCAGTGGTGCTGATGGAGATGAGAGTGAAGAGGATCCACCTGAGCATAAGCCAAGCAAACTCAAAAGGAAGTAAGTTGTACATTCTCTCTCTCTCTCTCCATAGTATGTTAGCACAAGCATCTGTATCCATGAGTGAGTGGTTATTAAATGCTCATTTTATGTTTAACCCTGCTATTCCGGTAAGCAGAAGAGGCAGGTCTACTGGTAAGACCTTGAGCCTTTGGACTCATGGCCAACTCTCAACTCTGCCTGCCACTGACTCTAAGTGCATGTCTTAATTTCTCATCTATAAATGGGACTGATGTCCTTTTCGTTAGATTACTGGGTAAACTGGAGCTAGCATGTAATGTATCTGACACTTGGTAGCTATCAGTGAATTATAACTTCTAACTGGTAATTAGATTCATATTCTGTCTCTCAGCAGTTCCTTAATTCTTTTCAAAAGTCTTGGTAATGTATTATTTCAGATTTTTATTGCTGAAATAGACCTCAGTGTAATGCTCTCATTGAATGAATAGAAACACTGAAGCAAACAAGGATAAGTACCTTGCTCAGAGCACGTTGCAGCAATGGCAGCTCTAAAGCTAGATCCCAGACCGACTCTCCCCAAGCATTGCTCTTTCTGTTTACACTATGAATGTTGCAAGATTCAAGATAGAGTCATTTTGTTAAACGCTGGCAAAATGGATGGTGGAGGGAGGACTCTCAAACACAGCTTGCCTGTTAACAGGAACCATCACAGTTTTTTCCAAGCTGCAGCTTACTGCCTGAGTCACAGAGGACAGCTAGTCACTTATACAAGAACACTTGCCCTAACATACTGCCTCACAAGCCCAATTCAAAACTGCAGGGGCCTAACCGTAACTCCCAGATTACAAATACCACCTAACAACTACTGACACTTTTGAATCAAGATTCACCAGCTCTTGTAGGATACTGTCGGTGCCCGTGAACTTTCTTTCTAAACAACTCGCACAACCTCTTTCCCCCAATAAAACCCAAAACTTGGCTGGACTCGGTGGCTCAGCCTGTAATTCTAGCACTTTGGGAGGCCAAAGCGAGTGGACTGCCTGAGCCTGCATGTTCGAGACCAGCACGGGCAACTTGGCAAGACCTTGGCCCTACAGTAAATAAATAAATAAATTAGCCAGGTGTGGTAGCGCGCACCTGTAGTTCTGGCTACTTGGAAGACTGAGGCAGAAGAATTGCCTGAGCCCAGCAGGTCGAGGCTGCGGTGACCGTGAGTGTGCCACTGCACTCCAGTCTGGGTGACAGAGTGAGACTCTGACTCAAAAAAAAAAAAATTTTTCCTTTGCTCTTCCAACATTCCTGAGTATATATCCCAAATTTTAATTTTATTTTTGTGTTTTATTGCCAAACAAAAGTTCCTTTTTTTGGAGATTTGTCTCTACATTTTTTTTTTTCTTAGATTTTGACACCACTTTACACATAATTAAACAAGTAGAGAATAATGTAGTCAGTTGCTGATATTGTAGATATCAAGGAAAGGATGAATAATTACAGAATTTGGATGTTAGCTAAAAACATTTCACTTTTCTAACAGGATATGAGGTACTCCACGTACACCTTTCTGGCTCCATACAGCTTCTAGAAAAACAGTAAGCAAGCTCTGGAGGCTCATAACTTAGTACATGCAAGCATGACTCTGCTGTGTTCTCTCAGTATGGTAATCATTGCCTATTAACTCTGCCATTTCTATTAGTTCTTGCTAGTTCTTGAAGGCAGAGAACATATGTGTGCTCACGTTCCTGGGACTGGGTACTGATAAAATGTTCAATGAGCACAACTTAATTGGAAGGACAAACTTTGTAAGAATTGTTTCTCAACACTTTCATTTATTTGGAATTATGGCCCTGGTAGTCAGCGTTAAAAGGTATCCCTGATAGGTGGATTCTCTGGGGTTACTTAATATCACTTACCCTCTTTAACGTTTTTCTTTTGAATTTTTTTATTGGATTCATACTTATCAAAACTTTCCTTGTTTTTTTTTAAGGAAAACTCCTGAAGAAATCACTGTAGGAAATAAATTAAGGCTGCATCTTTTACTGGTGTTTTTCCAAAGGAAAATAGAGAGATCCATACTTGGACCGTGTAAAGGAATAGAGACAATTACTTGACATGATTCAAGATTTGAGTGCTTATTACTATGTTCCAAACTCTGCTGGGTGCTTTATCTCATTTGGAAAACTCTCTCCTGGCTTGCTAGATTTGTTAACTATGGTTGACTGTTGTAATGGGAAGTTTGCATAAGTCAGTTATATATACCTTTTGATATTTGCCTAAACTTGTCAGCTCTGGAGGTAAGGGCTTATCACTATTTACCTTTTGTTTACTTGTTTAGCCATGAACTGGACATCGAGGAAAACCCAGATTCAGATTTTGATGACAGTGGTTTCCATCTAGGATTCAAGCATGGCTCAGGACAAAAGTAATTATTTGTTTTCCAGAAATTCTAACCACTTCAGCTTTCTGGTTTTCAGATAGCTAATGAATGTTAATGTATTTGATAGCATTTGAGATGTTGCCATTAAAATACCTCTCTTATTAGTAAGAATTGTAGTAGCGATATCAGTGTACATTTGATAGATTCACATGTACTCACTCTGTTGCTCTTCATAGAAATCCAGTGTTGTTATTTCATTTCATAGCTAACGCAACTGCAACTCACAGAGGTTTCAACTTAGCTAAGCCCAGCTTTTGTAATCTGTAAGCATGTTTCTCTTCTCAGCTAGTGTCTCACATATCTATCCCAGTGTGCATCTGAAGACCATAGCACACATGCCATAAAAGTTCATGTCTTCGATAAATAAAACACATAACAAGTAAAATTCTTTCCTTTAAATCATCCCTAGTGGTTGGCAGTGTTTAAACGGTTTGTCATATGTCCCTTAAGATTTACTTGTGTGTTTTTATGACTTTGTATGTATACACACATGTTACTTTCCTTTTTTAAAACACAAAAATGGAATCACATACTTACCCTGCAGCTTGCTTTTCTCCCTCAACCTTGGATACCCTTCCTTGTCAGCATACACATTTACCAGTCCTTTTATCGGGGGTGTTGTGTTTACTTAATCGTCCTAGTTAACAACATAAATTGTTTCCTGAAATCTAAGCATAATGCCCTTGAGGTTCTTCAGGTTATTACATGTGTCAATCATTCTTTCTAATTGCTGACTAGTATTCCATTATATGGATGTACCAAAATGTATTCAACCATTCACTTACTGAAGGGCATCTGGATAATTTATAGTATTTTGCTATAATAAATAAAACTACTGTGGACATTTGTGTATAGAAAACTTAAGTTTTCTCTAGAATTAAATGTCAAAGCATTAAGTATAAGGAAAGTATGAGTAAGTAGGTAATGGTAAAAGATTTTATTGTATGTGATGTGAAGACTGAACTGAATCGGCAAGGCACACTAACAACAGCTTTCACCAGTGATCTAAACTGAGACTGAGGTCTTTGATGTTTCTAAGGGTTGAGATTTCTATTCCTACTCACCTATTTTATAAGTTGTGACATTTACATAGATACCTACATATTATGAAGTCAGCGAGAAAGGGACTTGGGTAATGTCTCATGATTGACTTAAAATTGAATCCAAATTAATTCAGAAGTACATGCTGATAATTACAATATAGTTTCTAAAGATTATCAGTTATTTCCTTTAAGCACTTCAAAACAATTGTAGTTCATATAATCATTTAAGGCTAAGATCATAAAGTTTATCAATGTAAAAGGTTTTTAATATGCCTGGCAGAATTTTTTACTACAGACGTGTAATTTTACTGAGGAATTACTGAGTAGTTTATGGTAGTATACACTTGTAGAGATCTATGTTTTTATCTGGGGTCTAACTTAAATGTTGTTCTATTTAGAGCACCCAGTTCTGCTTAACAGAAAAGGATAAGAGATACTTTTTATTATAAAGAAGTTTACAATATGGCTAGAAAATAAGACCTGAGGCCGGCATGGTGGCTCACACCTATAATCCCAGCACTTTGAGAGGCAGAAGCAAGAGGATTGCCTGAGCCCAGGGGTCCGAGACCAGCCTGGGCAACTTGGTGAGACCTCGTCTCTACAATAGATCAAAAAATTTGCTGAGTATGGTGTTGTGCACCTGTAGTTCCAGCTACTTGGAAACCTAAAGTGAAAAGATCAGTCAAAGGAGGCTTCATAGCAGATACTTATCTTTTAGGACTGGAAAAATTCAGATGGTTAAATCAGACATTCTCTAATTATTTTTAACCAGGGTTTGCTGCTTCTGTAAGCTCCGATTGATTTAGATTAAGAAGTTAGTGACAAAAAAAAAAAAAGAATTTAGTGACTACTCTTAAGATAATTTGAGCCTGTTCAGATAGGTGTTATGTTTGCCTAACAAGAAGATGGGATTTTTTGCTATTTCTTTATCTCACTCTACTATGTAATTTCTACTTTCTGCTCTATATTAGATATGTTGCTATTTCCAATTTTGGTGTTTCACATTTGCTTTAGAATTAACATAAAAGCTTATCTTATGTTTGAAGGGGAAAAAGGAATTAACATAAAAGCTAGACCATAAACTCCTCTACAATTTGAACTTGATTTCATTATTTTCATAATTTAAAAAGGAATTAAAATGGTGACTGCTAATAACAAAAATTAGTGAAAATTTTTAGTTTCATCCTCTTTTTGTGTAAGAAAACATATTTCTAAAACTTAAGATGTAAGTTACTCCTTTTGATCTGGTCACAGGTATGGTGGAATTCCAAATTTCAGTCATCGGCAGATCAGGTATCTAGAGAAGAACGTGAAGCATAAGTCCAAGTACCTGGACATGCGCAGACAAATAAAGATGAAAAACAAACACATCTTTTTTACCGAAGAGTCAGAAAAAACTTTTTTCAAGAAAAGCAAAACTCTGAGTAAGGTATGTATAAACTTTGTTCTATACTTGTAGATAGAATCATATTTCGCAAGCTTGGCCCCTTTAAGTTGTTATATTTAAATAAGAAGCCTGTTTCTACCAGATACAAAGATACTTCACTTTTTTTTTTAACTTGTCTCCTAAAGGCATATATTATGTAAACTAAATTTGAAAAACAAGTTGAAGTAATGAGTAAAGGGAATTTTTTTTTTAAGCTACAAAGTAGTAGTGCCTAGGAAGAGAAAAAAACACAACCTTACCTGTGTAGTAACAGACAGAAGCAAGTAGGAATTTCTCATGTGTTTTAGGCTAAGTAGGATCCTGGTAGTCCAAATTCTGATACAACTTTTACTGTGAGCCTAACTTCTGAGCTCATCCAGAAGTGGTTGTTCACACCTTGAAATAACAAGTGCTCCCTAATAGCACGAAATACAAGGCCAGTTTATTGATTCATATTGTTAACTGGAATATTCATATCCTCTCTCTTGGACTTTGCTGTACCTGCCATCCAAATACCTGGGAAACAAAAGTAATTAGAAGATTACTTGATATAAGTTGTCCCCTTATATTCTAGAAAGACTCACCTTCTAATGAGCAAAACTTTGATATCAGTCATATCTCCAGCAGCTCTTTAAGACAACAGAACAGAATCTCAGACTTCACAATGACTGTTTTACTCTGAAATTACATTATCTTTCCTAACTTCAGCATACTTGTAATATATGCTACAACTTTATGGCTGGTTTTATTTTTTGTTATATTTCAGGTTGGCTGACTGCTGGTGATTTTTTAATAAGTATTTTAATGACCCTGGTTATATCTGAAGCAGACTCTTTGTATCATTCCAGTCAATCTCATAGGACTTTCCATCATGGGTTGGATAGAATAATCCCCCCGTTTATTCACCTATTAATAAGAGAGAGCAGAAACATAGTTGGTAAGCTTTGCTGAGGAAAAAAGAAATGTGGCTGTTTGTCCCTAGATATCTGATTGGTGTGTGGGCACATTTTCTTCAGAGGAAGATTCTGAGTCATTGCCTGTCTTATGTCTGCCACTTTCATTGTAATTTACTTATAGGAAGGTCACGAAGACCTGATATGAAGAGTATTCTTTTACAGAAGATGCAAGCATTTCATCTGACCTTGAGCCTTGTTAACATTTCAGAGATAAACTTGGTTTGTTAGCATTTATCTTACTGACTCTACTGTTGCATTAAAAGGCAGCTTACATTTTTTCCAAGGTAGCACTGCTTTTATTTTTACAGACACATTGACACTAAATTTAGAGTTCATCTTTGATGCTAAGTAACACTTAACATAGATTGTAGCTCGCCCATTGCAGAAAGCTCTGTAAATTTGAAAAACTAAAACTAATGATTCAATAATAAGTAGATGTATTTGTAATGGTAATATCACACAGCACAGTTATATTGTTAGGAACCCTTATGGAAAGCTACTGGAACAGTTTGACTTTATCCTTTTAATGTTAATTGACAGCAGGAAGTGTTTAATCTGATATTTTTTGCCTTTTAAAGAAACCTTTAATAAGTTCATGGCATGCCCAGATAACAAATTCCAATTAGCTCAGAATTAACTGTATTAGCCCATGTGATGCAGTCTGCTTTTCAGAGCTAATAGTTACAACACAGCTTGTCAGTCAAGTAACAAGTGGTAAAAGGTGGGAAGATTTTGTTTTAGTTTCGGATTAATTCCTGCTCTTTATGTCATCTTAAAATTTAAGGTCGAAAAATTTCTAACATGGGTTAATAAACCAGTGGATGAAGAAGCATCACAAGAGTCATTTTGTCACGACAGTGTGCAAGACAGCTGCACAAGCAGTGATTCAGAAGAACAAGACATGTCTCTTAAAAAAGGTGGTGACCCACTGGAGACCACTAATCCAGAACCTGAAAATTGTCAGACCATCTCTTCAGCTGGTGAAGTTGAAACAGAAAACAACGGAGACAGCTTGGTAGCAAGTGTTCCAAATAAGCAAGATTGTGTTACTCAAGATATGCCAGACTCTCTTCAGGCAGAAACTAACGGTAAGACTTTAAATAAATACGTTTTTTCTTTAATATGTTTTTCCTTAGTGTTCACCATGAATCGTCTATACCTAAGGAGTCACTGCTGTTTATTTTTAGGTGGAGAGAAAGCATGTTAAGTGTTATGTCTAATTGGCTATGGATTAGCATCTAGAGCACTCTTCACTCTTGGCTGAGCAAACATGATAAAATCAAAGGGAAAACCTGTGGGAACCTGCATCTGAGGACCACTCTGCCATTAAGCTTGGTCTCTGCTGCTACTCTGTTCTGTGGGCTAAAGGTGGCCATCCTTAGCTCTCTTGAAATTTGTTGTAACTCTGCTTTTCTTTTTGAAGTTTTTATTTGTTTGTTTGTGCTTGTTGATGATGGCAGTGGTTTTTTGGTGGTACATTGATATTAAAAAAGTATTCACAGTAGTTGGCTAGATGAATGGAAGACTAAGTAACATTTTCACCTTATGCACTTTTGTACTATTTGAGTCTTTTATAGCAAAGGTTCTTTTGTAGCTAAAAATGGTACCAGCCAGGATAACATATCAAGACCTCATATCTACAAATAAAAAAATTTTTTTCATTAGCCAGGCATGTTGGCATGTGCCAGTAGTTCTGTTGCAGAGAAACAGAAGAGACCGTGACACTGAGGCTATCTTTGGAAACTGTGGTTTATTAGTGCTGGCGCAACTCAGTGGGCTAATGCTCCAATGCTGAGCAACTCAGAGAAAGAGGAGAGGGGTTTTATACATTAGTTTAAGTAAGGGTGGGGGTCTGGTTGCATGGCTATATATTTTTCTTTGGAATTTGCAAGGTTGTATTTAGCAAAACCAGTTTTTCAAAGACCAAATTGTCTCCAGGAGATACATGACAAGCAGGGGTTGTAAACCGATAACTTCACAAAGAGAGAATGCAAGGGTAAGATTGTGAATCGATTACTATCTTGCACTTCCAGGAAAGCACCTTGTGGCCACTTGGTTTTCTCACGTCCTATGTCTAGCAGGTTTGGAGCTTGCAGGCTGATTTTTTAAAAGGAATAATTTTAACTGTTCCTAGCCCCTCTCTGCCACAGTCCCAGCTACTCAGGATGCTGAGGTGGAAGGGCCACCAGCCCAGGAGGTCAAGACTGTCATGAGCCATGATCGTCATGGTCATGCCACTGTACTCCAGCCTGGGCAACAGTGAGACCCTGACTCAAAAACAAAAAAAAAATAGTAACTGTGTTCAGTGGGACATTGAGGCTTTATAAGGTAGAAATTTTCATTTGATATAGTATTCAATTTATTGATGGTTTCAAACTTGTCCTTTTGAAATAATTATATTTATTCCAATCCTTCATTATTTCTATCTTAATTTAGTACTGAGGAAAATACCTTATTCGAGTTGTTTTTTTTATCCTTCTATGGGTATGGGCGTATATATCTGTGATCCTTATATCACATATTTCTTTGTGTTTCTAAACAGCATACTTAAGGTGTAGTTTACATGTCTTTTATTGTCAGTGTTAAAATTGACGTTCAGGTGACACAGATTTCTGAAATGCTTTCACGTGTTTTATTCTCATTTAATCAATAAGGTAAACCATTGAGTTAGGTGAAATTATTATCCTTCTGTAAATATGGAAAATAAAGCTCAGAGAAGTTAAATTAAATTTGGGAAAATTTGAAATTAAATTAAATTGGTCCAAGTAAGTGGCACAACTAGGACTTTACCTACTTTTCTGTTTCCTAAGTTCCATCTTCCTGCACCACCCTACTTTCATAAACACTGTTTGTTGCGATGCTGGTAGTTCTCAACACCTTCACAGGAGCATTTGGAAAATGTTGGTTATTAGAATAACCTGGAGTATATTGGCATTTAGGACTTGAGTTACTTAATGTTAGGTCATGGTCAAGAATTACTTTCTATGAACTTCACAGCAAACTGGGTGGACTAGAATCTATAATACTGAGTGACCTATCACAGAAACCAAGAACTGAGTACTACACATTCTCACTTATAAGCGGACCTTGAACAATTACCGTAATACTATAAGAACAGGATTGGCAGTAGTGTGAAACTGCCAGGGGAGGGCAAAGGCGGGATTGGCAGTAGTAGTAGAGGACATACCTCATCAACAAGGGTACATGCATAATGAACATTTGTGTACCTAACCCTGAATTGTACCCCACATCTTTAAAATAAAATAAAAAATATTTACTTTACCCCAAATGTCACTTTCCCCTCTGTTGAGAAACACTCACCATACTTTCCTTTTTTTATTTTTTATTCATTTATTTTGTTGTAGAGATTGGATCTTGCTATGTGGCCCAGACTGATCTCAAACAATCCTCCTACCTCACCCTCCCGAAGTTCTGAATTGCAGGTGTGAGCTACCACATGTGGCCTGCTATTGATGACATCTTTTAGGGAGCAGAGGGATCTGACCTTACTGAATTATGATATGGCACCTTCTGTTATTTTCAGTGACCAGTTGACCATATTAATACATAGTCCCATCCTTGAGGACCATTTAAATGTAATTGAATTTTATTCTTTGTCAACTGTCACCTCTTATTTTTATGCTTAATTGTGACAGAACTCTCATCTTTCTACATTAGTGCTTCTAACTGGTAGGAGACTGAAACTAAATAACCAAATAATAAAAATAATTTACCTAAGAAAGAAAAATAGTCTCTGAATGAATGAGATCATTTTCTATGGAATGGCGCTAGTGACCCCTATTTCAGTTCTCAGATGCCATGTGACTTCTAGGATCGATATGGCTGAGAGCTAGAGCCTAATGTAGTCCTTGGGAGATTTTGTTTTAAGGAAGTGAAAGGAGCTGGGCATGATGACTCTGTAATCGCAGCACTTTGGGAGGCCGACACAAGAGGATTGCCTGAGCCCAAGTGTTTGAGACCAGCCTCGACAACTTGGTGAGATCTGGTCTCTACAATAAGTCAAAAAATTAGCTAGGCATGGTGGTGCATGCCTGTAGTTCCAGCTACTTGGAAGGCTGAGGTAGAAGGATCACCTGAGCCCAGCAGGTTAAGGCTGCAGTAGCTGTGAGCGTGCCACTGTACTCCAGCCTAGGGCAACAAAGGAAGGCTCCGATTCAAAAAAAAGTTTAGATGCCAATAATTCACCAGCTAAAGCAGTGTCTCCACTAGCAAAATAATAATTTTATGTCTATAATAGTATTTCTACATATTTCCTAACAGTGCTGTGAATAAAGTTAATAAAGTACTACTCATTAACTCATTCATTCATCCCTTTTGTAGGAATGAATAATTAGAGCTTAGACAGCATAGATTACTTTTCCAAGCTTATAAAGCCAATAAGTAGCAAAATGGATGCTGTGATTGAAGCCAATGGTGTTTCCATCAAGCCGTCCTGCGTCTCTGGGTGTGTGATTAATGCATGTTCTGATTATAGTTTTTTGATATGGCTACCCTTTTAGATAAATTCGCCTTGGTTTTCGTTTTTCACAAGTGAGCATCTGTAATCTTTGTATTTTATTTTAGCTGAAATAAAAAAGAAGAAGAAGAAGAACAAAAAGGTAAATGTTATACCTCCTGAAATAGCTGCTGTTCCTGAGCTGGCAAAATACTGGGCCCAGAGATACAGACTCTTCTCCCGATTTGATGATGGGATTAAATTGGACAGAGGTAAAGTATAAATGTATTTTTTAACTGTATTTTGAAACTATTTCAAATGCACAGAAGGTTGCAAGAGTAGTACAAAGAATGTTCTTATCCCTTTTACCCAGATTCAGCCATTTTCAAATGTTGCCATTCTCTCTTTCTTTATGTATGATGTATATCTTTTTTTATCTTGTTGCACATATCATACTCCTACCCCTTAATACTTTAGCATGTATTTCCTAAAAACAAGGATATTTTGTATTAACAATAGCAAAATATCAATTCAACATTATTACAGTATTATAATCTACAGTCCATACCCTAGTTTCATTAATTTTCTTAATCTTGTCCTTTAGCAACGTCTTTTCCGACAGTATAGGCTCACATATTGCATTTATGTTTCTCAACTTGGGTATACATATGTTTTTCTTAAATTTTTAACCAAATGTAGTGGCATGTGCCTGGAGTTCCAACTATTTGGAAGGCTGAGGCAAAAATCAGTTAAGCCCAGCAGGTCAAGGCTGTGGTGGCCATGAGCATGCCACTGCACTCTAGCATAACTTAACTCATTCTTGGAGACTGATACTCATTTTCATATTGGGACTATCTAAATACTGGTCTCTAGTAACTGTTGGAATCAGGAGGCCTTGATAAGTTATGGAATTTCAGGGGACCTATGAACCTCTTATAATAATTTGTAAAATGTTGTATATTTTCAAAAATACATACGAGTTTTTAAGGAGAAATAAGACTAGAAAAACTTGCAGTTCTATAAAAGTTTATATTCTACCAAAAACAATCCTCAGCAAAAAAAAAAGCGAGAGCTATCACACTCCCAAACGTTAAACTTTATTATAAAGCTACGGTAATCAAAGCAATTTGATATTGGTGCAAGAGCAGGCATATAGACCAATGGAACACAATAGAGATCCCAGAAGCAAAACCTCAGTTTCTCAACAATCTTCCACAAAGCCTCCACCGCCAAACCACTGGGGAGAAGAGAACCTATTCAGTCAGTGATGTTGGGAAAATTGGCTGACCACATGCAGAAGATTAAAACAAGACCTCTACCTATCACCATACACAAAAATCAACTCTAAATGGATCAAAGACCTAAATGTAAAATCTCAAACTATAGGAACCATAGAAAATGTAGGAGACACCCTTATGGAAATTGGAACTGGTAACCAATTCCTGATCAAAACTCCAAGTGCCTATGCCATAAAAGAAATAAGATAGACAAGTAGGACCTCATCAAACTGACAAGCTTCTGCAAAGCCAAAGAAACCATCAAGAGAGCCGGGAGACAGCCCACAGACTGGGAAAAAATATTTACCAACTGTGTGTCTGGCAAAGGCCTAACATCTGGGATCTACAAGGAACTCAAACATGCCAAAAAGAAAAACACAAACAGTCCTGTTACAAAGTGAGCAAAAGACATGAATACATACTTATCAAAAGAAGATATACATGCAGCCAACAGATCACGTGAAGAAATGCTCAACCTCACTAGTCATCAAACAATTGCAAATTAAAACCACACTGAGATACCAGCTAACTCCAGTCAGGTTGGCCATTATCAATAACTCAAAAAACAACAGATAATGAAGAGGATATGGGGAAAAAGGTACACTTCTACACTGTTGGTGGGAGTGTAGACTAGTACAACCTCTGTGGAAAACAGTTTAGCGATTCCTAAAAGATCTAAAAATTGACCTTCCATACAACCCCGCAATCCCCTTACTGGGAATATACCTGGAGAAACTCACATCACTCTATGAAAAAGAAGAAAGATACCTGCACACATATGTTTATTGCAGCACTGTTCACAATAGCAAAAACATGGAACCAGCCATGCTGCCCATCGAAAACGGACTGGATAAAAAAAAATGTGGTACATATACATGATGGAATATTTTGTAGCCATAAAGAAGGACAGAATTATGAACTTGGATGGACTTAGAGTCTATAATACTGAGTGATCTATCACAGAAACAAAGAACTGACTATCACATGTTCTCACTGATAAGCAGACCTTGAACAATTATCATAATACTGTAAGAAAAAGATTGGCAGTAGTGGGAATCTGCAGGGGCAGGGGCCCACCTCATCAACACGGGGGCCTGCATAGTGAACATTTGTATAGCTAACCCTAAATTGTACCCCACATCTTTAAAATAAAAAATAAAAAAAAGAGAGGGGACTTTTTTTTAAGTTCATATTCTGAATCTTTCAGTTATGAGGAGGCATTTAAAGTTTTGGTAAGGGGAAGAAGTGGGAAAATGGGCACATCATTTTTTTCAGAGAAATCTTTTTCTGAAAAATGTAAATTTCTTCTACTGGGAAAGGAGGGCACTATTCTCTCTCCTCTGAAGTGGGCACTGGACCTCATTTCTGAAAACGATAAGGGCTCTGCTATTCCTACTTCTGCGGCTCAGTGGCCTTTTGCTGTCAGCTTCTTGTATTTTCTGACCCTTTAAAAGCCTGCGGTTTTTTCCAAAATGCCTAATACAAACCTGGGCCATTGCTTCTCCATTAGGAATGAAATCATTAGTAGACTCAGTGGGATATGGGTTGCTAACCAAAGAGAGAATCTAGTTAAGAACTGAGGTGATTGCCTCTATGGAATTTGGAGATGATACTGCTTTTTTTAATAAGCTTTGCAGAACTTTTCTTTAAAACTAGGTAATTTATAATGTTTTGAAAAGGGAAACTAAGCTTTTTGAAAGCGTGTACTTCCAGCTGGGCACAGTGGCTCACGCCTGTAATCCCAGCACTTTGGGGGGTGGAGGCAAGAGGATTAAATGAGCCCCATGGGTTTGAGACCAACCTGGACAACTTGGCAAGACCTTGTCTCTTCAATAAATAAAAAAAATTAGCCAGGTGGTGTGGCGTGCCCCTGTAGTTGGAAGGCTGAGGTGGAAGAATCGCCTGAGCCCAGCAGGTCGAGGCTTTGGTAGCCATGAGCATGTCACTGGACTCCAGCCTGGGCTACAGATGAGACTTTAACTCAAAAAAAAAGTATATACTTCCTAGGAATGGAGGAATGGTTGCTGTGTTTGTGCTTGGCTTTGCCTCTTAAAATTGAACATGTTAACAGAAGTATTCTTCCTTTGCAGAGGGCTGGTTTTCAGTTACACCTGAGAAGATTGCTGAACACATTGCTGGCCGTGTCAGTCAGTCCTTCAAATGTGATGTTATAATAGATGCATTCTGTGGAGTTGGAGGAAATACTATTCAGTTTGCCTTAACCGGAAAAAGAGGTAATTAACCATCGGTAGAAGAGAACTGTTTTATTTCCAGTTCCTTCAGTAAATGTTTTGCTACAGCTTATCGTTGCTGAGATTTAATATATAATTAATAATTTAATACCAAATATTTAAAATAATGACATATATTTGGCATATACTTTGTATCACATACTGATATAAATGCTTAATACAGATGACTCTTGAATAACACAAGTTTGAACTTTGTAGATCTACATATACCCAGATTTTTTTTAGTTTATATTGAAAAATATTATAGAGATTTGTAACAATTTGAAAAAAAACTTTCAAGCAAACCATGTAGCCTAGAAATACTGAAAAAAATTTAAAAATTGGTATGGCGTGAATGTATAACTATATGTAAATATTAGTCTCTTTTTTGGTTTCTTCTTTATTTTTTCATTATTTTATTTTAAAGATGGGGTGCATTTCAGGATTGGGCACATAAGTGGCCAATGTACAGGTGAAGTTTGGGCCTCCCATTGGTTCTCACTTCACCTGGCTCAGGATCAGGTACCCTTATTGATGTTATGTGCCCCCCTCACCCCAGCAGTGTCCTGCTTATTTTATCATTTACTAGCATAAAATATACTCAAATCTAATCTAAAAAGTTAAAAACTTATACACACAAACAGAAGGTACATGGAACCACTCAAAGTCTTGAGAAATATAAACAAACATAAGGAGTTCTGAATCATAACTATATAAAGTTATCTATAGTTAATTTATGTATAATAATCTCGTAGCCATCTCCTGTTACTGTTGCAATGAGCTCCGGTGTTGCGAGTATCAGCTTAAAATACCGTGTGACTCTAATCATCTCCATGTGAACAATTCATCTCTTCAGTGAACTGCCTATAGCACTAAAAAGTAATCTTTTAAGGTTCTCAAGTATTTTTCACTGTGTTTAGTGTGATACTATAAATCTTGGGTAACACCACCCATATGAAGTGTCACTAGCAATGCTGGAACTGCTCCTAAGAAGCAGAGAAAAGTCATGACATTACAATAAAAAGTTGAATTGTTTGATATGTGCCATAGATGGAGGTCTGCAACTTGTGGCTGTCCATTTCAGACAGGTGATTCTTCTTTTTTTTTTTTTTTTTTTTTTTT